CTGTTTAAAAGAAAATTATGGTGCATTTTTTGACTTTGTTGCCTTAAAGAGTGAACTTTTAGTAATGTTTTCGGACCCAGATATGGCAAAAGATAGTGTGTATGACTTACATCAATATATGTATGCTCTTCAGTTATCATGCGTTTTCCCGCAAATCTTCAAATTATGTGAGCTAGTATTAACAATACCAGCGACAAGTGCTGCAGATGAACGCTCATTTTCAGCTCTGAAGAGATTAAAAAACTACTTAAGAAATTCGCAGAACCAGGATAGGTTGTCATCACTGGCTTTGATGAACATTGAAAAGTCCTTCCTAAACAAACTGCAGTCCAAACCCAGCTTTCTAGATGAGGTTATTGATCTGTTTGCCAAGAAAAACAGAAGAATCGAGCTGAATTATAAACAATAAAGTAAGCATTAATTATATTCCAGGTTCACAACCCTGTCATTTGATGGCTATAAAATTGTGTTGATAATTATGTGTTATTTTAATATATTAGCTTAAATATACAATACATATTAAACTATTAGCTGTTTTCTTTTAAATAGAAGATAGAAACTATAGGGTATGTAGAAAAAATTTATATACACGTATATAAAGTTGCTTCCCTGCTTTCGGTATTCATGCTACGCCACTGGTGGCGCCAGAGCAATGCATAGTGTGTTGCAACTTACTGTGTTCTAAAACCCTGTTAACAAGCGAACGGTCCGCCATGTTTAAAAGTGAAAAACCTTTTAAAGGGTGTGCAGTCCGCAAAGTGTTAAAATAGACCATCCTCCTATCCAATGAGTATGAGGGGACAAGGAGGTCATGGAGTGAGGTTGACCACTCACATCCCTATGGTGCTGAGGTCAACAATGTAGAGCTATATCGCCTCTCCCCCATGGTATGGTGCTTGATTGATTAAGCACAGGGGTAGTTTTACCTTATCTAAAATAGACTATCAGCTCGCCCTTCCAAATTCATATTCATCCTCACATATTAAATTTTACACCACGTAGCTTCAGCAATGTATACTATATAGATAAACATATTTGTGAACTTCTTTTGTTTCCAGCAAGTCAGCACATGAGCTGTTGTTGCTAGTGTATGAAGTTCTGGACGAAGCTGTACAAAGCAATGACTTCTGCTCTGTAAGGCTGTTTTGCACAGCTCGAAATATCTTTGAACTGTATAGTGCTGTGGTACCAACACACCATAAGATGTTCCTTGAAACAATCCCACAACAAGTTGGTGAGTTCTGTGCTCAAGGTGCATAAGTTAGCATTGCCATACATCTTGGGTTATGGGGTGTATGGTATGGAGAATAGGGGAAGTATAATAATTGTCAAACTCTGTGGTTAATATGATCATGCTATAACCAGTTCCTTAGATTTTACTCACTTTGTGCACACACTTGTATTCATGAGCCATTTAGTTAATATCCTCCCAGAATAAAGGCCGTGCCATAGCTCATGCGGTTAGTCGCTGGCTTCCCACCGTGGCGGCCCGAGTTCGATCCTGGGTCTGATCAAGTGGGATTTGTCATGGACAAAGTGGCGCTGAGGCAGGTTTTCTCCGAGTACTTCGGTTTCCACTGCCAATCTTCATTCCACCAATTGCTCCACAATCACCCTCACCAATCATCTGGGGCTGGTACAATAGGCCAGAAGTAGCCACAGTACAAGGGCCTTAGTCCCACCTCACTAACAATAAAAAAAAATTCCAGAGTAAAGGTGTACACAGTCTTCCTTAGGTGGGCGCCAAACAGTACTTTGAAACAGTCTGCAGCCACTCCCACAGTCTTTCCAAGCGTCAGTTGTACTCAACTTGTGTTGTCGACAGCCTGTACAAGCTCTCAACTAAGAATATGATAACATTTTGAATTCAGTTTTAGCAGGTTGTCTAGGACTGAATGGCTTCTCCAAGTGGTAAATAATACATATTTCTATATCTTATACTCCTGTTTATGATGATATGGATCAGAATATGAAAGAGGCTTATTTTTTTAGCACAGGGGAAACTATGCCTTAAACCTCATGAAGACCAAGATGATCCAGTGATTTACGTAAAATGGGTTGTGACAGTATGAACTGAAATTGTTGAGAACTGAACCTTTTTGTTCCTTTGACTAAAGATTTTGGTTCCTTAAATTCAAAACTTTCTGAATCAGACTCTGTTCTTATTGTTTCAGCACTCTTTCACAACAACTGCATGTACCTAGCCCATCGTCTTGTGACGTTAGGTCATGAGTACAGTAGCCGATTTCCCACAGTTCTCAGGTCACACACATCCACCTTCATCGATCAAGTGACAGTGTTACGTGAACTGGGGATCAGCGTGTTTCTGAAGTTCATGCAGGGTCAACGAAAACAGATTCTAGATATTCTGAGAGACTCAGGTGAAATATATTTCTGGTATTTTGAATGTAATTCTTTCTCAAACAGTTAATAGTTATTCGACTGATGGTAACTACCTTGACTTTGCATAACCTGAATAATTTCTATCCACTTCATGTTTTCAAACCATTTTTCCTAAGATCATTTTGAATACACTTATCTGATGTACATCTAGGTCTGCCAGTGGAGTCTTCCACTGACACTTGCTAATTAGAATGATGGAAAACTGAATCAGTTTCCTAGTAACCAATTCCCTTACTGTAATTCTCTCAGGTGTAACCTACCTAGCAAGGTGTACAGTGGTACCTCATAATAAGAATTAGAAAGACCACGGCATGCAGTAGCGTAGTTGGTTGAGGGGCTATGCTACAAGCCGGAAGGTCGCAGGTTCAAGTCCCGATGAGGTCATTGGATTTCCTTCAGTTGACCTAATCCTTCCAGCCGCACTATGGCCCTGGGGTGCACTCAGCCTCTAACAGAAATGAGTACCAGGAATTAATTAAATAATTTTCCTGGGGAGTAAAGTGCGGCTGGCGCGTAAGGCTGACAACCTTACCGCCATCTTTGAGCCGATTGTCTACATAATGTGGGACCCTCAACGTCTCACAACCCTATGGGCCTTCATGGCCTTGTACAGGGATAGCTTTACTTACTTTTTTACTTTACATTCATAAGTATATTCAGGCAAATGTTTATAATATAGTAAAGGCGCTTCAAAATCATGTTCCATAGTTTACTGAAAAATAAAAGCGTCAGCTAATGTAAAAGGGTTCTTGAATATCTTTAACATACACTTAGACAGGTAATGTTGTAGGGCAGCATTGCATCAACATAGTTGCCAGCTATGCAACACTGAACAATGTACAGCAATTACTGTCCATTGCTGGAAAGTGGAGGTTTCTGGCATCTTTTCTGAGAAATCACCCAGTTGCTGATAGTTGACATGTTTGAGAAAAATTAAAAAAACATGGCAGTTTCATGGTTAGTGGGCAGTGATAACCCTTGAAGCACTGACAGTGACATTTAAGTCTATGGAAAAATTTCACACAACACTCATTTTCTTTCTTTCTTCCCTATATATATTTATTACAGCTGGTCTTTTCTGTCAATACCTGGCCCATAAACTCATTGTATTGCATAACATAAAGTGACTTTTGTACTTGCTGACCCTAAAATGTGTTAACAGTACAACAAGGAGCACAGCTGCAGGTTCAAGACTGAACTACAATTAAACACCACTTACTACCAGATCCTTATGCCATGTGCACTTCCAAGCTGTAAAACTGAAATAAAATCTGTCAGCTGTTATTTTCACAAAATCTTTTATCCTTGACATCTCAGTGAGTAAAAATTAGAGAACTGAACTGAATTGTAAATAATTAAATGCATTTATTAATGTTGTCATTATTGTGTGTTCAAATTAACAGTAAAAAAGGTAAAGCTGTATGTGTTTAACTAATTAAGCACTATGTTGTGAATGCATATGGGGAAGTGTGTCTGTAGATCCACATTTTCCTGACCTCAGCACTAGTTGGAGGTGAGTGGTCAGCTTCACTACCCTGCTGCTTTAACCCGGGGAAAGAGCCCCTGGTACCCATTGGATAGGAGGCTGGGTGGGCCCCAGAACTGGTCTGGATGACATGGAGAACATTCTTGACACTACCAGGATTTGAACTCCAGCTCCTCCATTGTCCAGCCTGTAGGCAGTCACTATGCTGGCTTCTCAAATTAACAGTAACCACGGTTAATATGGCAAACATGCATTGGAATAAAAATGACATACTAATTACACATTATATGCAATATATATTATTATATAGGTTTGGCAACACTAGGAGAGGATCCCAAAATTACACCAAGCATAGAGAAAGCTGTTCGACAGTGTCTGCGGCAAATGGAATTACTCCAGACAGTGTGGGAGAACGTTTTGCCTGCCAATGTCTACTGCAAAGCTGTAGGTGAGATATTGTTATGACAGCAGTATATGTATATGTGATTTGTGTTAGTTCAGGCAATAGGATGACTACTGCTGAATTGGAATTACCAAAATTATCTGTCCAGCGCACTCTTGGTGTAGGCCCCTCCCTTTATTGGCTGAACCTTCAAGATATTATGTAAACCGAAGCAGGTTGATGATTAGAAGTAACAAGTTGAATGATGGAATCACAAAACTACCATTCCAGAAGAAGAAAATGCTTTAGATTATTTTATATATATAAAAAATAGAGGTATGAAGTCGTAGAAGAGTGAAGTAGACCTAAATCAAAAGTACCAGTCTAAAGATGTGAGGAATCATATTTACTTAATATTGTTAGGTTGTCTACTGAATGCACTTGTTGAAGAGCTCATAATCCGAGTTACCACCGTAGAGGATGTGCCAGCCACCACTGCTGTTCACTTGGTCACCGTGTTCAGTGTTGTCATTAACAGAGCTCCACATCTGTTTCAGGTAACTGCATACTACATTAGAGGGGGGATAAAAAGCTAAAGCTCCAGTCTTGCACTTTTGATTATAGTAGAGCATGGGTGATCAACCTATGGCCCACAGCACTTCATGTGATCCCTTTAATGTATCAGTGAATAACTTAACACATTGCGGACCGGAGGGGCCATATGGCCCTCTACGTTTCCAAGCGTTGTGGACCGGGCGGGCCATATGGCCCTCTACGGTCACGTTATGTTGCAAAACGCTATATATCGCTTTATGGCTTCGTTGAATCGTAACTACTGCGTAGATGACCTCGGAAATGATTGCTGCCTTATCTAGTAACTCGACCAGAGTCATTTCCTGTCACAACCTAAACAAAATTGGCTTTGTTCTAATCCAAGCTTGCACGTATGAACCACGCAGCTACCAGTTCAACATGGCTCAGAGACGAAAGCAGTTGCGATCTCTCGGAGGACAGGAAATATTAGATATGTTCTCCGATGAGCTATCAGATTTGCCAACTGCTTCGTCTTCTGATAGCGAGGCCATTATCAGTGACAGTGACAGTGACAGTGACAGTGACGGGGGCCACAGGGCTGCCCAAAATGTGTCAAGTGAAAGTGAGAGCTCCGTTGAAAGTGCGAGTGTCGGGACAGCAATACCTACTTTCAAGGAAAGTACATATTTGTGGTACAATTAGGGTGAACAGAGGCATCTCTCCAGATCTGAAAGAGGAATGTAAACGCCTGAAACGTGGCGACACCGCATTCAGGAGGAAGGAGGACATTCTTCTTCAGTCCTGGAGGGATACTCGCGTTGTGAATATGGTTTCCACTATTCACAATTCGAGCATGATCGATGTTCAAAGACGACATGGGCAAGTAAAGAAGCCTCTTTGTATATCCGAGTATAATATGTTCATGAAAGGAGTTGATAGGGCCGACCAGTTCTTGGCCTATTATTCCATACCTAGGAAAACAGTAAAATGGATGAAGAAAGTTGCACTGTGGCTTATAAACTGTGCAATTTTCAGTTCATTTACGGTTTTAAAAAAGATGAACAGAAATTCTACTTTGAAATACAAAGCATTTCTGTTGAAACTGGCAAAAGCTTGGGCTACTGACGTCACGGTGGCGGCAGTACCTGTGTCAAACACAGACGTAGTGCAGTGGGGGCCATCAGTTCGCACCTGCCGGAGGTCTCAAGTACACCCCCCTGGCCGACTCTTGGGTGATATGCGGAAACATATTCTCGTGAAAATTGTGAAGAGTGAATATTGCAAGAAGAAACACCCTTCTAGGCAGTGCCGTGTGTGAGCAGACCACAAGAAGAAGAGTAGAACTGCCTAAATGTGCTAATTCTGTGTAATGCCTCTTCACAAAGGGGAATGTTTCCAGAGATATCACATGCGCAAGCACTTCTAGGAGCTCTGGTAAGTGTTCTCAAAAAATTTCAGTTCATAAAATTAATTAGGAGATTTTATATTAATTTTTAAAGTGAACAGTGCAGAAGTTAGGGTAGTAGGTTTAAAAACGCCGGTCCCCAGGGTGATTTAAATGTTTAAACCACCGGTCCGCAATGTGTTAAACTAGGGTCATTCCTAGAATAAGGCAAATCGGGGTGAATGCTCATGCCCTGCAGTTCAGTATCAGAACATTTGTTTCATTTTGTGGTTTCAGTAAAGGTAAAATAAAATGTAAAGCTCTCCCTCTAATAGGCCATGAAGGCTCATACAGTTGTGAGACGTCAAGGATCTCACATTTTCTCTAGACAGTTTGCTCATAGATGGCGGTAAGATTGTCAGCCTTAGGAACCAGCCGCCCTTTACCCTCCCAGGAAGATCCCAGTACTCATTTCTGTTAAAGGCTGAATTGACTGGAAGGATTAAGCAAATTAAAAACAAATCCACCTCATTGGGTCTTGAAACCATGACCTTCCAGCTTGTAGCATAGTGTCTAAACCAACTACGCTACTGCGTGCCCCTTGTGGTTTCAATAAATTTGATTTTGTTGAATGCCGAGTTCTTTATTTGAAAGGACTGTGGTTATCAGTAGTAAAGTTGTCCCTGTGCACTATGCCATTAAGGCGTATGGGGAAGTGGATGTACAGATCCACATTTTCTTGACCTTGGCACTAGTTGGAGGTACGTGCTCAGCTTCATGTGGTATGAGTAATAGTCACTAAAAATAGACGAGTAAGACCCCTCAGTATGTTAGTGGTCAGTTACTTCAGGTGGGCTGCCTGTGACATTTAACAACTGTTATCATTCTACATGTGCCATGTAGTTTGGAATTTGCTTATCAGTTCTTAGTAGTGACACTATCTTCAGTTTTCACTAGAACACATGTGACCTTAACATTGTTTCAAGATTTGTGTTTTATATTTCTCTAATTATTGGTCAGCCCACATCATTGACATGTTTGTTACATTTTGTACAGAATTGAGCATGTATTTGTGGTGAAGTTTCATGCCAGTTATAGTGGATGTTAAGGTTCTTCCAGTATGCACTGTTGACATTGAATTTAATTTAATTTGGAACAGTGCCTTGTCAAAAATATCATTCTTTCAGAAGGTTGTGCATTCTCTTCTTTGGCATATAGTGTTCTAAGTATGAAGTATATTTTTATGGTATCAGTTGCTTCTGGTCGGCTCTAATAAAGAAAACACATTTGATGGATAGAATTAGGCATGAAATGGACAAACAGAATCCTAAATTTTACATGGGCCTTCATTGCATTGTCCATCAGCAGTCACTTTGTGGGGGGGGGGGACACTTTCAGTTTGAACGTGTCATGAGAGTTGGGAACTTTATTCAGTCTTATGGACTTCACTGTCACCAGTTTGCCATTTTTCTAAGTTGATGCTGAATATAAGGATATTCTGAATCACACAGATGTCCAGGGCAGTCTTGAAATGTTTTTTTTTAGTTTTGAGGCTAGAAATAGAAATGTTTTTAAATAAGAATGGTAAAGGTGTGACTGAACTTCATGATGAAAAGTGGTTTTGGGATTTAACACTGCTGTGTTATCAGTAGGGACCGGATTTTAATGCCAATGCATATTTCTTTCTTGCAACCAGAAAGTATGCCCGTTTGGATAAATGTATGAATTACTTCATTTCTTAAATTTTGGACATGATCTGATGGTGCATACAAATGCATATTTTGCCTGTTTTATGAATAAGCATCATATTTTCGAAGATCTCTATTTATACTGCATATTTCCCCTTTAAAATGTTTTAATATATTTTAATTTTATGTTTTCAATTATGGTCATGTGTATACAATTTTTCTTTTCCATATTAGAATATGTTGCATATTTGACTCAGCATTTTGTCATGATTCATGTTTCTGATGCAATACCCAGGATGGGAATTCCTCGATCCCTGCACGCGTAACTTACCTCATCCGCGTATCATCAAAGTGGCCATGAAGAGATAGTCGGAAGCGTTCACATGTAGCCGCTATCAATGTAATACGATTCAATCTTGATCCGCGTACCATCAAAGTGTCTGCGAAGAGATTAGTTGGAAGCGTCCACATGTAGCAGCTATCAACGTAATGCTATTCAACCAATAAGGGACTTATTTATTTCCTAAGTCTCCATGAGGTTCGTTACACTTCTTCATTTGAAGCTGGGGCCATTCACATTAGTGGTGACTAGCCTGTAGTTAAGTTTGTTTAGCTTTCTGTAGTCATGCCGAAAGTGAAAGTAAGTCAGAAAACAAAATTACAGCTGTATCAGTGGGAGTTCGAAGGAGAGATGATAAGTATGGATAACGGAATTCTTTATTGCCGACCGTGAGAAAACGGTTGTGAAAAACGCTTTCAAGTGCTTCAGCATTTGAACACTAATATACACAAAGAGAATATTAAAATTAAATCCACGAAAAGTGCTCCTGTTCAAAAATTGCTTAGTGAATTTTCTAATAATAGTTTTTCAGTTTTCCTCTGATTTATGCGAAGCCGTTTCAGCAGCAGATATTCCACTGTGAAAACTAACAAATCCTACTCTGAGAAACTTCATAGAGAAGTATACACAGTGCAAAGTGCCGGATGAATCTGCTGTGCGCAAAAATTACGTGAAGCAGTGTTATGCTCTTACAATTGAAAGCATTAGAGATAAGATTCAAGATAATTTTGTGTGGGTATCAATCGACGAAACACAAGATTGTGAGGGACGGTTTATTGCAAATTCTATAGTTGGATCCCTTAATGAGAATGAACAATCTACCCCATATCTTCTTGCGGTAGAGCAATTTTAAACCACAAATAGCTCCACAGTTTCTGGATTTTTATCAAATCCATGAATTTACTATGGCCGAATGGCATTCAGTATGAACGCGTATTGCTCTGTGACTGATGCCACAAGTTATATGATGAAAAAGCCGGTACTGCTCTTGAAGTTATATTTCCAAATATGACACATTTGACTTGCCTTGCCCATGGGTTGCACCGTGTTGCAGAAACAATTCGTGCAAATTTTCCGCTTGTTGACAAGTTGGTGTCTTCTGTGAAGAAGGTATTTGTTAAAGTGCCATACAGAAAAGAAGCCTTTAAAGCAATAGCACCGAGCGTTCCACTTCTGCCAGAACCAATTTTAACATGATGGGGCACGTGGCTGTGTGCAGCTAGTTATTATACTGAACATTTAGAAACAGGAATGTTGTGAATACATTTGATCCCAAAAGTGCAGCATCAATTTAAATTGCCCAAGATGTACTAAAAAGAGCAGAACTAGAAACTAATCTTTCCTATATATCTGCTCACTTCTCTCATCTTCCATCCGCCATTTCCTCACTGGAGGCAAGCAATAGCAACACTACTTTGTATCAGTCATTAAGTGTGTTCAAAACCACTGTTTCCAAATTGAATTCGGTTCCTGGAAGAGTAGGTGAAGTAGTAAAGGAAAAAGTACACAGCATTCTTTAAAAAAATCCAGGATATGAACAAATTTTGTGAAATTGAAGAAATTTTATCCGGTAAACGTACTGAACTGCCAAGTAAAATATCACTAACAGTGGAGCAAATAGCGGCTTTTGTACTTGCGCCCTACGTTCCTGTGCAGTGGAAAGAAGTTTTTCCGGCTATAAGGACATATTACGAGACAATAGGAGACGACTAACTATGGAAAACCTAGAGCATTTAGTAATCGCGAACTGCAACAGAAGAGAAGTTGGAAGTTCGGAGAGCTGAATGTGAGTACCAATGGTTTTATTAATTTGTAATGAAATATGTTGGCTTTGTTGCATGATTTGTATTTAAGTATAGCTTTTTATTGCAAATGAACCATTCAGTGATTACATAAAATGAACTTAAATATTGATTTGTTGGTCTTAAAATAAGGTAAAATCAATTTTAATATTTGGTATAAATTTTTATGTGCATATTTCAGAAGTTTTTCATGCATAAATGCATACATATTTAAGGGATTATAATGGCATAAAAATCCGGTCCCCAGTTATCAGCCACCATATAGATTACTCAAACACCAAACTTAAAGGGCACCATATAAATCTCTTTCTGATATGTTTAGGGCTGTCATAGTATTTGAAATGAAGCTGAAACTATTTTGGAAACTGTTGGAAAATGACACAGGTGTGTAATTTCCTCCGGTCATTTGCTTTCAGCGACTGTCATAATCATACATAGCCTTGAAAACCCCATTCTTTTTTGAAGTCAGTGATCCAGAAAAATTTAAACTTGGACTGCAGTGTGACTCAATTTTGCACAGTAGTTTCAGCCAGGAAACTTTAATCGCCTTTTATGGTTCTATACCATTGTCAATAGTCTGAGGTACTTGAATCATGAAATTTGGTATATATCTGGTAGCATGTATACCTGTGTACAGGCTTCTTCACACATAAAACAACAAAACAAAGTTTGTTCACAACTATGTGAACTCTCTTGTAAGGCAGGATCAATTTTCCTATTAACAAGGCAATTTTAGGTTACTCTTATCTAATATTCAGTTTTATGTTGGTTATGGTGGCGATATTGAATGCGCCAGTCCTCATAGTGTATTATATCTTAGTGTGACCCTTCCTGCCTAAAAGTTGACAAACCTGCAGTATTAAGATGATGCAGGCTGATGTAGGCTTTAGATTAAAGGGCCTTTTTGTAGCTCGTATGTCCTTGCTGTAAGTCAGGCCAGGACCTCATTATTTGTCATTGCTATTAACAGTACACATTTATTACTACTGACAGTCTGCACACCAACACCATATGACCTTTAGTCATTTTACCATATGTGCATTATGAATTCATATAAACTAGTTTGTGTCTTTTCACCTTTCTTTTGCAAGTTCTCTGATTCTCTTTGAACACTCTGATAAACGTTGTATGAGAAGACCTTCTCTAATAACACCAACATAATCTTTGTATAAGTCATATGACTTCTGCTTTACATGAAACATTAGTTTTCTTAAGTGTACAAAACAACTGTAGAGCTTATGATGATTTACAAGTTTTATTTTAAACGTTTTCCAATTTGAATACGTAGCAGCAGACAGTAGTAATTTATGACTTCAATGTGAACATATCTGCAAGTGTTGATCACTGTTGAAATGTCAGTATGATTTCCGTTACCAATTTCATTTGTGATGCTGTGAAGATGAGTACATGATTTACTAGCTATTTCATCCAACTTCCTAGGAGTTCCATCAGGATGGGGAAATTGGTTTATATAGAAGATAAATAAACATCATGGCCAAGTGAGGCTCTCAAAATTGCAAGAATAAAACACACTTGGAAAATGTTGGAGTATGTCCTTGCTCTTGTTTTAAAAACAATCTAAGTGCTATTAATGTGATATCTGTTTGCCTTAGGAACATGGTGAGGTACATCGGTTTGTAAAACGATGGCAGAAGTTTAGAGAACTGGTTCTAATTCTGGGGGCTAGTCTGAGAGACATAGATGACAGGTGGGCTGACAGCAAAGGACCTCTTGCACAAGAATTTACACCTGAAGAAGTTAAGCAGCTGATACGAGCCCTATTCCAAAACACAAAGAGAAGATCTGCTGTTCTTGCAAGAATAAAATAATGCTGATTTGGAGGAAAGTTATCATGAATTTCTTTTCCATACATTCTTTATGCCCTATCCATCTCACCCTTCATTTGATCACCAACATCTGGCAAGGCGTAAAAATCAGGGTGCTCCCCATTATGCATTTTCCTATAGCTTTCTATATCCAAATATTCTCCTCAGCACCCTTGCTGTGGTTTTCCCTTAATGCAAGGGACCAACTTTCACACCCATACAAAACTAGGTGAAGAAAAAATATTCTAAATTGAATGGTAGAAAGCAGTTTATCTGCATTTATTTGATAAATGCAGTTTTGATTTACTACGTAGGTCATACCGGAAGTCAAGAGCAACTTTTTTTTGCATGCAACCTGGGAACACCAGAGTATGGTGGTAGGTGGAACCAGCTGTTGTGTTAACCTTGAGTGTCTTGTGACATCAATAGCTTGCATCATGTAACCAGTATCACTCCTAACAAAATGGCCGACCATGTTGTTTTGTTAGTGTGCTGTCATTGAATTTCTTGTGAAAGAGGAAATCCCTGCTGCAGAAATTCACCAGAGACTTCAGCATGCTTATGGGTGCAAGCAGTGTTCAAAGATGGGTGAAAAATTTTAAAGATGGGAACACCAGCATCGAAGATGAGCCTCGGAGCGGTCGTCCTCGAACAGCCTCAACTGAACAGAACAAGGAAAGCGTGGATGAGATCATATTCAAGATGACAGGCATGTGATTATGGACACAAGAGCCCAAAAACTTGGAATAGGGCACGGTGCAATACAGGAGATGATTGAAAGCTTGGGCTATAGAAAAGTTTGTGCTCGTTGGGTCCCGTGGTTATTGACAGAAGACCACAAAGGTCAGTGAAAAGCCATCACCTCAGAACTGCTGCAAATATCAACACGAAGGCGATGATTTTTTGCTCTGTACTGTGACATGTGACAAAAAGCTGGTTTCACCATTTCGAGCCTGAAACGAAACGGCACTGTGTGGAATGGCACAATTTGCATTCTCTATCAAAAAAGAAGGCAAAGACAGTGCCATCAGCTGCGACGGTGATGGGCAGTCTTCTGGGATGCAGAGGGGTTTATTCTGCCCGAATTCCTGGAACCTGGCCAAACCATCAATGCTGCTTGTTATGTCCAGATGCTGCACAAGCTCCGTCGTGCATTGCGCGACAAACATCCAGGAGGAAACATCAACGCTTGCCTCACGCTGGAAGCAATTGCAAAGATGGGGTGGGAAGTTCTTCCACACCCCTCCTATAGCCCCAATCTGGCACCCTCCGACTACCATCTTTTCAGATTTGTGAAGGATCAGCTGCATGAACAACATTCTGAGACGAAGGGAGGCAATTCAGAAAGCAGTGCATTAGTGTCTTCTGATGGCTGGAACGAAAGTTTACAGAAGGGGAATTTTCAAACTCCCAGAACACTGGGAGAAATGTGTACAAAGAAGTGGCGATTATATGGCAAAATAAAGAAAGGTCTGTAGATTGAGGTGGTGTATTTGGTTTGTCAATAATAAAGCATGTTACTTTACAAAAAATTGTTGCTCATGACCTTCAGTACGACCCTCGTATTACTCCCAAATATCAGTACTTCACATTTTCAAGGGCCCATTGTTTTTTTTTGTCCTGCAGCCTGGTGAGACAACATATACTTTATTCTCCACTTTTATTCATGGACCAAGCCCACTAGTGTATAATTTTTCTTTAGGAAACTTGGTAGTTATATAGCTAGCCAAGTGGCCTCCGTAGTCTAGAGGTAACGTTCCCACCTCATGACTTGTAGTACGCGGGTTCAAATACCCGGCGGAGGTCATCGAACAAGTCCTCCGGGAGGGACTTCAAGCTGTGGGTCCCGTGTCGTAGCTTTATGGCACGTAAAAAAACCTCATATCTCCAAAGGAGGTCACTGAGCCAAAATTGTGGACGTTTCCCACCCAACAGCAGTCTATAATACCTCTGGTAGATGGGGGAAGCATTATAGATACCTCTGAGCCGATCTCACTGGCTGGGCGGGACTGATGGCAAGTACCAATACCGGTAGGTAGGTAGGTACTGGTAGAAATCATAGAGGGAAGCACAATGGACCATTACAGGTCTAAGTGCATGGGGAAACCAACCCTCTCCAAATAACTAACTATATAGCTAGCCAAGCCTTCTTCTAAGGTACATCATGATGGGATAACCTTGCCCTTTTCAGGGCTTTCGTTCTTTTTCCTTCCACAGTCTATCCTGTTGACTTCTGATCTTAGTCATTTTAAGTTCCATCTCCTTCCTGCCTTTACTGTTCATATTTTTTTTAGTATTTATACATTCTTCACCTTTTTTCTCTTACCAGCTATGGGTCTAGCCCGTTTTAGACAATTACAATGTTACATTTTGCTGGCTCTGTATTATTTTACAAAACAGCCTAAACCACCCCCTTCCTGTACTGTCTGCTGGTTATACCTAAAGTACCATAAAGAGCAAACTAATCCCAGGGGTGGCTGAATGGATCCCTTGAATGATGGGGCTGCAAGCTGAGCTTGATTTAGCTTCGTGCTGTCACCTCAGGCAGATTACCCTGGTTTCTGTGTTGTTCATTTCCTCATCTAATCCTACCTTCAGACTGTCACCATCATTTGGCCTTGGCCCTGTAACCTAAGTAAAAAGTATCCCCGTAACAGGCTGTGGTGGCCCATAGGGTTGTGAAATGTTGAGGTTCCATTTTCTAGACAATTGGCTCATAGATGGTGGCAAGGTTGTCAGCCCTGTGTGCCAGCCATCCTTTACCCCCAAGAATATTCCTGGTATTCATTTCTGTTAGAGGCTGAGTCAACCTCACGGCCATAGTGCGGCTAAAAGGATTAGGTCAATTGAAAAAAATTTGAAATCATCAGGACTCGAACCCGCAGCCTCCTGGCTTGTAGCATAGTGCCCCATAACCTAACTATGCATCTGGATGTTAACAATCGAGCTGTGGTCATAATTGTATGCAAGCGGAGTGGATAAAAAGTAAAACACAGACACTTCTGTCTACACACATCATGAACTTAGCCTCCTGTCCAATGGGTACCATTGCTTGGGAGGAACCTGCTGCCCCCATCCTCTCTATATTGACCACAACAGCCATGGAAAGAAGAAAATCCTGATGGTTCTCTAAGTTTCCAGGCTGCAAAGCAACAACAGAAGTAGGTGCTGGTGACATGGAAATAGTCTTCAAAAAATGTATCAATGATGTGATGTCCCAAGAAATATCAACCATGTCTTCACATATTTGGTACAGTACAGCAATACAAAAGTTGGGAATCTGGCTCACTTGATTCAGCGGAATGGTGTTGCTTTTGAATGTATTAGGTGTACCATCCATTCACTTCACCACCAGCAAGTAGCACAGGGTATTGTAACAGGCATCAACATTTCTATTCCTTGATGGTGGAACCATCATAGAGATTTACTAAAGATGAAAACATATGACAGCATAATGTTTCTGCCATAGTGGCTACACTGCCAACAGCATCAACTAACATGTACTATTAACCGTAACCTTTAAACGCCGCACTTCTGAAATGGTGGTAAGCTTGAGCTGGTCAGAGTTTATTTAAATGCACGCGGCTACTGTGTTTAAATGTCTGTTCCTGTTAGGACACTTTTTATACAAAGTGTTATACTCTATTTTTAATTTTGATGCGTACCGCAAAAATGGTTTCCCAGTTCTTCACAGAGTTGTTCTGTATTATAAGTTCATTTCTGTTTGTAACACTTGACAAATTTTAGCACTCTCCCTGGTGTCATAAAACAGATGGAAGCAATAAAATCATTTGGTCTTTTGCTAGCACTGCTTACTCTCTTCAGATTTTCGAAATCTTTTGACTAAAGGACAGAAGAATGAAAGAATGACTATTCAAGAGAAAGATAGAGGGGTCCCTTCTTCAGTGCTAGGTCCTTTCCTTATAGCTGCAAGAGATTATTGCCCTTTGTAGGGTCGTGAACAGTTATAATGTGGCTGAGATAGTGCAATCTGTTTTCTGTGCGTTCATAGTGAAATCAAATACCATAGTTTCATTTCATCCTATATATACATCAAGCAGATAGCAAAAAAGGTATGTACATCGAATTTTACTGTATATTTTTAACACATTAATCTGCAATAAAAGTACTGGCTAATGGATGATTTTGGGCATAACTCATACATATATCTTTTGTTGTTGTTCACTTAGGTATTATTTTAATTCCTCTATTATGGTTTTGCTGAAGTCTGGTAATTACTACATTTAAAAAGAAATATTTAGGACTGTTTCATGCGCTTCTACTAGCAGACTTTAAATGCCCGACTGGCCAAAATGGGGTACTTTGGCCATGATGACCATACTAATCACTGGCCTGAACGGGGCACTTAAAGGTTAAAAGCTCAACAGCATTTATGAAGAAATCCATCTTCTTGGATGTCATACTGTCCACTGAAAATCAACCACCATTCCAGAATGTCTCCCCTCCCTTTGCTTGTTACCTGCTTCGGTTTTTCTATTACACAGCATTACATCCCAGAACTGTTATGTGTATACGTTACTAATCCCTGTGCACCACACATGCCAAAGTTACTGCTATATCCCAGCAACTTTTTCTTCCATATGACGGCACAGAATAACTGAAGTGAGCCATGCATTCAGTTCAAAATCTACACACATGCTGCAGCTGACAACTGCCCACAACTCAAATGAACACTGCATCAAGTACTCACATCCACGATATACTACACTTGAGCTGAGGGAACATTTTCCATCACTACACATGGCCACATTACTCCCATAATAGCAACTAAATTCAGAATCACACTTCAGACCTTTCCTTACTTTACTGTCCACGACTACTGCATGAAATTTATCATTCACTGTGACATACAACCCTCTTAACTAGTTATATTAAATGGTCACCATGATAGCACATTAGTGCATGAAATGTGTCCAAGGATAAGGACACACCATTTACTCGGATGCAATGGTTGTCCAGGCAAGGAGTAATGAAACAAAGGCTAGTAAGGAACATAATTTATTCAAATTTATCTTCACATCCACCAACCAGAGTATTAAAAATGGAACATGAGCTGAATGATTTAATGAGCAGCAGATGCAACTATTCCTGACTGCATAGTGTAATAGTAATACTGACAGTTCTATACTGTAACAATATGTAGATTTTTTTTTGTTATATCCTTCCACATCACACAGTCAATCCACACACCCCTCGACATGCTAATACAACTAGGCGCAGCAAGACTTATATAAGCCACCCAAGCCTATTAAAGAGAAAAAATAATTCCAAAACTTGATTTTGAAGTCACTGTACACAAAATAATATCCCACTCTGGTAGCACTGGAAAATTGTAAAACCAAGCTTACAACCTGTGCTACTTCGGTTCAATTTCATCCTTACCAAAACATGAGCAAGTATCCTCTGAAGGGACTAATCAGAACACCTGAATCATGTCTATTCACATGCGTAACAGTTTATTACCACAATCTCTACGTGTAGCATGACCAATTTATAATTAATCCAATTCTGAATCAGAGATGATACTTCACCACAAGAACAATTATCTGTATAATTGCCAATGCCAACTAATTAAAAATATCCTTAATTTTGCCTCTCTACCCAAACTGCAGTACTTTTCACTGAACTCACAAACTACTGAAAAAGAATACATGGAATAAAGTGCATAATATGGTGGCATAAGCTTAGAGAACTTGTTTCAATTTTTGTAACACTGTCAGCAGATGTTAATGTAAAGCAAGTGGTTGTACCCAAGTTTACACCAAAGGAGAGATAGCTGATACAAGCCTTATCCTGATACACGGACCAGATCAGCTGTTTTTACATGGTTGCTTAAACAACGCTGTCAGTACTCACACCACATATCAACCCAGCTATTCCTGTATGCACCACTTAAAAGTGTATTTAAAAATAGTAAAGTTGCAATGTATGGGCCATCACAATGCTTTGCCTTCAAAGAGTGTTACAGTCGTATCTGTAATTCTTCCATGCCGAATCCCCCCCCCCCAAAAGAGTAAGAAGACGATACATCTTATTCATCATGTCCCCTTAAAGAGTTCTTGCTGAATAAGTGGGCACAAAGGTTTTGTTTTCACATACATTTAATACAATTTGCAGAGCTCAAACTATTTTAATTGAAAGTTCCTAGAAAGTTTCGTGTTATCAAGTTTTCTTTCCATGAGGAAATAGAAAAATACAAGCAAAGTAACTAAAAATAACTGAATACCACTCAACATGTATGGCACCATCTTGCGATGACAATTCACAAATGCAGAGCACTATTTTTACTGAAATGTAAACACTTTTTCATTACAAAGTTATTTGTTCGTAGAACTTGCCCTTTAAAACTTAGGTGAGCACGAAGACACATAGCCTGTAGCTTACATCTCGAAGCTTTGACAACTCATGCGTAGAAACTGACCATATATGAACGTCGTATCGCTGAAACATTTTCCCCTCTTTCTCTTGTAGATCAAATTTGCGGTCGTGAAGTTAGGGGACTGTAAACATTGGAACACAAACATATGTCTATCATAGGAGCAAGTATGCATAAATGGTCGACAAGATCTGAAAATGCTTTCACTGCTTTTTCATGCATTATTATTTCAGCAATGTAAAATGTGATGGCAAATTCTTTTGGCTTTTATGCAGAAAAATTTATTTCCATCATGCAGCCATTCCAGGGTTGTAGTAGTAGTACAGTAGTAATAGCAATGCGTAGCAGTTACATGGAGCTGATCATGCTATGATGTCTACTTTATAATGTATTACACTATCTTCTGGTTGTCCACCCCCTCCAATAACCAACATACTGATTGAAACTTTGGAACATGTACATGGGAGATAATTCGGAGTATTATTAACCTCTCCAGAAATGTGAGGTTGGGAGTGTGCAGTGAACTTCACTGCAAATATATATTAAAAGGTTCGTAGTACCTGGATCCTTTTCCCTGCAACACGCCCCGTTAGTATGCATCACCTGATCGACTTGCACCGTAGCCAAACGAACCCTCGGAACTTCCATAGTCCCTGGAGCTGTAAATAGTCGTAGTAGTATTCGTAGGAAGGGGGGAAGTGGCATCTACATATAGTGAGGCACAGTAACACATATATATACACACATATATCGAAGCACAGTTTGGTGATCACTGATAAACTGACGATTTTCAACATGTCGCCGAACTGTCATAAAGATCGTAGGAAAATTATGCAATGAAGCACCTTTTGATTGAATACATTACAGAATACACTAGGTTCTGTATAATTAAAGTAGTCCACAAGAAAAAATGCCATGAGACGTCTGCCTAGTCCGATGGAAGACCTACATGCCTTCAATGATGTTTATCGCAGGTGACCGAGGACAAGTCATTAATACACAAAAATCAATTATAATCGATGCTGTGGGTGCTTTTCACCCATTGTGTATGCACTGTCATGTTTAAATATGGACTGCAAATTGTCTCATGACAAACACATTGTTCTTTTTTTCTTGCGAAGATTCGTGTATGTAGTGTAACGTTGAGTTTAACTGGATAAATACCTGCCACGCCCCACTGGTGATCGACTGCGATACCTTGAAGACCCAGAATCTCTGCCACTGTAGTAATCATTTCCATAGCTGTCTCCTCGGCCACCATTGCGATCGTAGTCTCGACCACCTCCATAACTTCCACGCCCAGAGCCGTAGTCATCTCCATAGCGCCCCCTGCTACCCCTTGGACCCCCTCTTCCACCTCGGCCCCCGCGAAAACCACCCCTGTCACTACTATAACCACCCCTGCTACCTCCTCTTGGAAAGAAACCCCTCCCCCCACCTCGGCTGCCACGGAAGCTTCTACCCCCACCACGCCGACCCCGAGAGATCTCTACCCTCAATTTAGACCCCATCAAATCAGAGCCATTCAAATTGTCACAGGCTGTTTCTGCTTCATCTTCGTTGGCAAACTCTATGAAGGCAAAGCCTGGAGGATTGAATGCAACCCACACACTGTTCAACTTCCCATATTTCTCAAACTCAGACTCCAAGTCCTCCTTCTTGATTCCATCACTCAGACCACCTACGTACACACGGGTGCCCCTTAATTGATAACCTGAACTCATCTTTCAATCTGAAAGAAAAATGCAGAAATTCTTTTCCTTCCCACAAAGTTCAACATTTTATCAACATCTCTGCTCTTAAAAAAAAAAAGAAAGAGCAGCACACATGAATTACAATCCCAATCAGGATGACAGCTATCTTCCAAATACCAATTCAACATATTACCAAGAATTCAATTACTTTCTTGTCTTCAGACAGACCTCTAGCATACTATTTGACCCATGTTACACACAACTTACCAATACCACAAACAAAAAGAGAAATACTAACATATAACCAGTTACCAAGACTGTACAACAGTAGTTTTATGCAGATTCAAGCTGTATGCATATCATTTTCAAAAACACACATTACATTTTAATTCAGTTCACTTTGATCTTTACCACTGGAAATGATTATGTTGCAGTAACATCTCGGTATTTCACAAAGGATCATGAACCTATTACAGGCCAAAAGTAGATCTGTTTTGACTCACAGTATCAACCTCAGGTCCAGCAATGGTCTCAACACCCCTATGGCCTGTCCTACATTACTATATACCTAATGAAGGCACTAAACCTCCAAAATGGGACCACTCGACAAAATTTGTGGACATCATGTAAACACACTCATAATGAATGCCCAGCACCCTGCAAACGTTTTATAACAAAATTCGATGTCTTTTTTTATGGTTCCTGTAAATATAATGGTTGCACTATTGTAACAAAGCAAGTATATCAGGTCATTACTCATTTCGCACGTGATAGCCGACAAACATTAATGCAAACGAAAATGGTCATATTGTTCCAACCACTTCTACCACAGTAAAAAAAAAATTGTGGGGGGGAATCCTCACTGCAATTCAATTATATTTTGCGCAACATAAAGCTCATTTTGTATAACCTGAACTAACACTACCTCACGAAAATCACAAAACATGGCTCACAATTGTGTGCTATTTCGACCATGACCACACCCTGATGGAAATAAAGCCCGCGTTCAATTTGGTTCCCACATAGGTGTCCGTCGAGGGTTGTCTGCTGGGATATAACGAAACTACATCCCTTAAATTCAAAATGGGCCAGATTTATTTCACCTGCTAACGGACACCTCAATTTTTCTCCCTAGCGTGTCAAACACAAATTCTACCAATATAAGTTTCTGGTATTGACGCCATTGTAGTCTGGCCGGTCCTTTCTGACGCTTTGTAGAACGCCGGTAAAGGTTTGCAATAGTACACAGGGTCAAATCGCACTTATATTCTTCAGTCGCCAATGTGTGAACTTCGAATCCCGCGTGGAAATCATACATTATACCCACAAGAAGAGATATATTTCAAAACCAAAACACCCAACTGTCTTGAATCTGAAGCTTACGCTATTAACAACAACCGTTTTAAACCTCACTCTTTCTCTTATAGTACAGGCATCATTGTATACAGCTTTCACCGCTATTAAAATGGCGGCTACCGAAATATTTAATTTTCCGCAAATACTCAACAAGTATGATATAATCGCTGTTAAATATGTTATGTCAAAAAGTCTATTTCCGTTTTCTAACAGGTTTCGTTTACCTCTAAAATCTTCCGTATTTATAAATACAACCGAAACTCAGATCTCCGCAGCAACCACACGCGTTCTTACCACAGAGAAGACAAGCAAGGAGAAGCTCTCCAACGCGCGCTTCAAAATCGATATGAATTTGGGGTTTACACAAACCAATAAAACGGAAACTTGTAACCTCTACACCAGTTCTAAAAAGACTCATTCATCTCGATTATCACACTCGTTGGAACTCTTATAGTAGTTTTATCAACTGTTTTAAAGAACAATCTACATTCTGATTTAATTTCTCTCTTGATAAATTTTTCTAATAAACATAACGAACAATACGAATTATGATTCACCAGTAGTTGATTGGCACCTAGTGACGTCATGTCAAGAAATCTCGGAACGAAAATACAAGTTTAAAAGAGCGTGAGATACAGCATCATTTGTTAAATCATGCGTGAAAGCATAAAATAAGATTCACATTTTTGCAGTAATTCTGTATTTATTAATACCTCGTCCCTAATAATTTAAACTGTGGCGCATTAGTATTTCAGACATAAAAATAATTCAAATGTGATTCAGTGTACTGCAAATTCAGATGTAAAATTGAGTCAGTAATTTTACTTTAGGTTTTATCATTTGTTACCCACTATTTATCAACTGAACAATTTATCAAATTTATGGACATGTACATCAACCACTGCAGCATTACACAACTAATTATACTTGTACAGCTCTTTACACATGAATTCCCCCTCCCACTTCTCTCAGTGTATCCAACTGAACAACTGTAAACATGAAACAGGAAATAAAACAAAAGGATAGAAATCCGTAGAGTTTGTGTGTAGATTGTACGTTATTGAAGGAGGGCGTCAAGTTTTTAGTTTTGGTTTGTAACGAAATTGATGTCATGTGGCAGTGTATATGCTGCGAGTGTATTTTAACATTGAGTGTGTGTTTTTTTAGAATGTTTTTGAATGCATGGGTCCAATTCACATTCATTGTTTAGTAATGTTTCTGCCATACCAACCTTTTCCGAAAATACAGTTTTCCAGTAAGAAAGAAAGATATTTACTCTTATATAGAATGAAAGGCCAACGAGTGTAAATGTGTTAGGAACTGTTAATTATAATATAAAATTTGGTGGGAAGGTATTAAGAGATATCTGTTGTTTCAGAAATCCATGAGGTACCTGCTGATTTCTTACACCATTTTAAATTTAATAACACACACAGGTATTGGGTAACTGTAGTATTTTCCCCCGTTTTGTACTCGAAAGATAGCCTTAAACCTAATTGCAGGGGAAACATTTGAGAAATGAATGTGGTCTTCTGTTGCTCTCCCCTCCCAGCCCAGTAATGTTTCCGTCCTCAGCACTTCACTGTCATGCACTGGTTACTGTTGCATCGTTTTCAGTTGTTACTCTGTAGTATTACATAAATTGGTATGATGTAACCAAATCTTAGTTGTACGTGTCATGTGCAGTGATTCCCTTTTTTGGCGCTGTTAGCAGGAAAAGAAAGGAACTGGTTACTTATCTCAGTGGGTCATAGAGGGAATGGGGAATAGCATCAGCAAGGATGCCGGTGACTGAACAGGAAGTGAGGATATACTGAGTGAAATGCTTGGAATTGAGCCTATTTCTCAATGTTGGTGACTGTATGAAGTGCAGGAAAGTCATGTAGTACCCTCCATAGCAATACAGTACAATAGAAGCAGCTCCTTGAATTCAGTCTCAGCTATCAGAAGTAAATAATATCATCACAAAGTTAATAGAAAGTCCGTCGAGTGTAACAATTTGTAGGTCACTTCTTTATCACTTCTGCCTTACATGTTTCGGTTTGACACAACCATCATCAGAGGCACTTACTACAATTATGAAAACACTGTCATTGTTTATGATGTTCACAGTTATGTTTGTTGTCTGGACGCTGCTACAATATGTTGACGTGTAAAAGCACAACACTTGCTAGGATAGTTGAGTACACTATCAATTCTCACTTTCCATCCGAAACTGTTTTTAAGTTAAAACGCTAATGTTAAAAT